TCTTTACTCAAAGGCCGGCAACGCGCTTTTTAGTCCTGAGCTGCAAGCGATTGCCCGTTGACCCGTCTGCTCGTTTGCCCCCTCTTTCATAAAAAAAAACGAGCAGCCTGGTCACCAGATAGTATATTATTACCGCTGCCTATGGACATCTAACCAAAATCTAAGCCCAAAACGTTCTAAGTGGCATGCAATGGGAGAGGCCTATATATATCCAGCAGTGGACTGCGATAGGTTGATGATGATGATGATGGACAACTTCTCATCAAGAGACACAAGTCCCTTACCACTCTTTGTTGCTCCCCAAAGAATTAAAGGGAGGGGAGTTTGGGTCTGGAAACCTCACTCACTGACTCTTCACTCACTCACTTGGTGAAAATTAACGAAAGAACTGCCGTGGTATAACTCCGATAGGGCCGACCCACGTGTGCAGAAGCATGACTCTCCCACGATAGGAATTTAAATAGTTCTGTTTCGAAACATTACTAAAATGAACTATTAATTATATTACTAAACTTAATTTTAAAAATATATTCCAAAACAGTTAAACTATACAAACTATTGATAGTCCAAACTAGTTCTGGTGAGACATTTGTTAGTAATTTGTGGTTTAGAAACAGGTTTGTAAATATATAGGTAAATAAATATCTTGAACACCTGATAGACTTCTGAGTAATTTATAGCTTTTTAAATTAACAAATGAAAAAGAATCCTCATCAACAGCCTTTAATAGGCATCACATAATACTCGTATTAGTTTTATAATAACATACATAATTATATATACCGTGGGAGAGCCATGCTTCGGCCCGAATGGGCCGGCTCGACCGGAGTGATATTACGGCCTTACAGAAAACCGGTGTTAAGCAATTCCTTCGTTACCTTTCACTGAGTGAGTGAGGTTACCGGAGACCAAATCCCCCCTCCCGCTGACTTGAGCGGGAGGGACTCCAAGGGCGGAAAAGCACTAGTGACTTTTGAGTTGCATGTGTACATGGGCGGCGGTAGTTGCTTACCATCAGGTGACCCGTCTGTTCGTTTGCCCCCTATACCATAAAAAAATAATAACATAATAAACATTCACAAAAATATTAGTTTTAGAAAGTATAATACTTTTCCATAGTAACTGTGCTCAGATATCGAGATGGAGACGTTGTTAGCTGAAATACAGGCTTATAGCCTAGTTCAGCAACAGATGCTAATCCCGAACACAAATTGTCTTCCAGTCCAGAATTATTTAGCAGCTACAAACTATGTGTTAATGTGAATAATTGAAATAAAATATTCATTAATTCATCTCCTTAGAAAGGTATTGGCCTACTGTACCACGCTTGCCAGACGGGTCGGTATGAGTTTGTGTCAAGTTTTCTTTCTCTTTGCAGTGCTGTTGTCCTGTGTAGTTGGCTCCCTTAGTCGGCTGAACTGCTGATGCTGAGCTGATGAACAGTTGTGTGTGTGGTATTGTTAATCCGTCACCACACACACTAAAAGAATAGTAATATCTTAATACCTTGGGACATATTAAATATCGCTATCTTAAACTAGACCAAGCAGAGTCTTCTATGGATTCGACACAGTTATCCGTGTTTGTACGTAAGTGTGTTGTATGTATGTTTATACATTCTTATTAATAAATGCATAATACATAAGACAAGTGCAAATAAACGTACTTATACATGCAAATATTTGCACTGAGCAGTAAAAGAACGCGCGAACCCCAATTCACAACTTTACTCTAATGAAACGACAGACCGTGGCACTTTATACAGCATCATGTAAAACATATAATTAGTGATAGAAAAAACCTGACAGATAATAACGTCGATTATGTTTACTTTAAGTAAGGAAAATATGCAAAAATCAAAGTGTAAATATAATGACAATGACTGGTGATGGACCACAGATAAACCATAGACACGAAGACTGGAGGTATACGAGTGTACTGCACACTCAACTTGTGTACATAAAGATCTTAAACAGATTATAACTGATCACAAATAGTCACAACATATAGTTTTAAGGTACCTTATTTTGACTATGTTTTTTTTTCATCTACATTGTTGTCCGTATCCGTGATGAAGAATACGGCGTGTCACCAACACTATTCATCCCGTAGGTGTCGTAAGAGACGACTAAGGGAGCTAACTACGCAAAGAGAAGAAAAACTTGAAATAAACCCTACATCAACTGGTCTGACCAGCGTGGTATAGTAGGCCAAAACCTCCTTTCTAAGTATAGGGATATGTCCAGCAGTGGACTATTAAAAGCTGTTGATAATTACCAGTCATCTTGTGACCGCGACCAGTGCAAAGTAGTCAAAAAGCCAGGCAGTTCAAAGGTATGTCTTTATCGTATCGTAAACATAAATATGTATTATGCTATGAAACTTAGTGTCAAAAGAACACTTGGTCATCATCCCACAGTTTGATCTTAACTGTGTCATGTTGACGTCAGAACATGATGAAAGGTGAATCATTATTACAACTTCGTCAATAATACAGATACTTAATTTCCTTACAGACGTCCATAAAACTTAGAACGAATAAAGATGCCGTCGAGTCAACATAGGTACCGTGGGAATTTTGTTGCAACAAAGCATTATCTAAAAACAACGAACGCCATTGACCGGTAGAGATTTACAAAACACCATAATAAACTTAAACACACCTAAACCTTTATGGTAATTAATATGATGTTGAATAGTTTGGATTTAGAGAAACTTTAGTGTTGAAAACAATAAAAACCTGCGCCATTAATGGGGTTGGAGCATTATCTATACTAATATGACGGACTGCACGAATGGCGTAGTGGTTTAAGCGGTCGCCACGCCGCTTCCTACTACGCTGAGTTTTGTGAGTTCGATCCCAAACGTGGGACGACACTTTGTGTGATCCACAAATTGTCGTTCTGTATCTGGGTGTTCTTTGTGTCCGTTTCATGTATGTTTGTAAAGTCAGGATGTATTCCTAGTACTTGAATTTTCTTTTAAAAAACAAAAAAAACGGCTAAATGAAACTCAGACTGCAGTGGTTTGAAAGAGGACGAAGGCCCGTATCCTTATGTCCGCCCTGTGATGAACAGACCACTAACATTGTCCAAAATCTATAGGACAATCTTTCGTCATAAAAACAGTAATCTTTTCACATAAAGGATAGCCCTTCTTCCTGCACCTCTGATATTGTGTATGTTATATTGAGCGGTTGAATAGTTTAAAACTTTAGAAACACACTTGCATTTATTTTATAACAATAATATTAGTAAGACTATTCACTCCTGATTAACTCCAAAAGTATGTGTGGCTTGTAGGTGTGTTGTACGTACCCTGTCATTTACATTTCTGTTTGCCGCTTCAATGGCAGAACTAGTTACAAGTTTTAAAGGAAACATTGGGGTTTCCACACAGGAGGGGGTCATCTACGCGCCGTAGATGGCCCGAGGTACGTCGGGGTACTAGGGATTTCCTGTATAGGCTACACCTGGTTCCCCGGCTACCGGTATTTCAGATGGCGAACAGTTTTTAATTGGTTCGAGTCCGACATACACCGACATAGCCACCGGTGGGTGGTATCCGAAGGGATTTCCGCACAGAAAACAAAAAAGAAAAAAAAGGTTTTAATCTTGATATTGAACCATCTCGGAACGGAAAAACCCTATATCAATTTGCAAGAATTAAGAATCGTGCCACGGAACATCTGATCGCATGCACAAAACACACTCAAACACATAAACACACACATTTCAGACGTCATGTTCTACAATACACGGTATTTTCTAAAATCTTAGTAGGTACTAGCTTGGGATAAAATAATCATACTTTTCACTCCTTTTCACTATTGTCATGAATCTACTCCTTGTAGGAGAGACTTCGACTGTTACAATTTACCCACTAAGGGAGCAAATTACGAAGGACAACAGCACTGCAAAGAAAAAGAAAACTTGAAAAAGATCCTATACCCACCCGTCTGGCCAGCGTGGCATAGTAGACCAAAACCTACTTTCTAAGGCGATGCCTATGTTCAGTAGTGGACTATTAAGGGCTGTTGATGATGATGATGATGTATGTCTTAATTCGAAATCGAACACCCTTACCCTTAATTTTTTTAAATGTAGTTCTCATTCAGATCATTTTATCGGGTTTAAAAGGGTTAGGTATGGTATTCGCCAGGTATTCGATTTCGTATTTAGACATTACCAGAGATGATTATGCTTTAAATACCTACTTAAAATTGTCTGCCAGATCTTGGCCTCAGATCTCAGCATATCCTGACAAGCATTTAATTTTGCTGGAGGGGTTATAATAATACTAGTTAAGTGTGACGTATGTTTCTTAAAAAACATAAAAAAAACTTTTTGTAAACTCAGGATATTAGAATTGAAGAAAATTTATAAGCTGGATGCGAGCAGCCCAAAATCGATCGATTTTTACTTGAAACAAAGTTATTTCATCGGTAAAGATTAAAACAGGCTACTAAAGATATTGCTAACCTAGGACTTATTAATTATGAAAGGTTATTTTTTCAGTAGTAGTTTTATTATAAATAAAACTAAAAAATTATCGTTAAATTATTATTATTATTAATTAATTTGTTAGTCTATGGTTTATAATGATAATGACTATAAAAATAAGATTTTTGATACACCGATTCTACGCTTACTGTAAAAAAAAACTTGCTTTTGTACTTAACTTGCTTTAATCAAAAAACGATTATGAAAATATGTTTAATTTATTTTGATGTGATTTAAATTGTCTTTAATACAATATCTCATGCGAATTATAACTAAATATGATTTCTGGGTCAAATCGAAATCTGCCGAACGACTTCGAACTTAGCCGAAGATTTTCGCAACATGCAATTATTTTCCGAGTTTAGATATAATCAGAAATATATGAATAATAATTAACTTTTTAGATCTTTTCTTTGCATTTTTGTAGATACATTATTGATGGCAATAAAAATCTGCTAAGTTCAGTGTTAACATCTCCACAGATAAAAAAAAACTTACGTTATAAGCATCTTGTTGGCCTCAAGTCAGCTTCCTTGTATCATGTACTCAATTCACAGCACAGTACACAGAAACAAACACAAAAAATAACAGATATTAATTAATAAAATGTAAAAACACACTCACACACACACGTAACGCGGAATTTGCGTAAAGGTTTACGAAACTTTCTAAATCGTGGCGCGAAATTTCGGCGCGAACGCGAACGTGTGTTGTGCGGCGCGGTCGATCGCTTACTAACGTTCCGTTTTCGCTTGGAGTCGCGCACCGCGTTCTTTTTACAAACCGGCTCCACAGACAACAGTGTCTTGTTGGCCAGTCCGCCGTGTCAAGCAAGAAGGTATGACGCAAGTAGTTTCGGCAACGCTGGGTTTTTTTCGTTGCCTCAATCGGCACACACACATACATCCATTATAACTAACTTTATTCGCTTGGTTCGTTCTTTAATTATGTATATAAATTAGATTGGAAGCCTTCAACGTTTTCCAACGATTCCTCTTACTTGTTCGTGACGAATCGATTATAATTGATAATTCTCGCGGAATCGTTATCGGAATTCCGAAGATATAATTCGTGTTATGCTCTCTCTCTCTCTGGGAAATATTTTTAACTTTTCTATGTAGCCACTATAATAGACTTAAAAAAATACTGAACTATTGTCTAGTGGTTAGTAAACATGACTGCTGGCCAGAGGTTCGATTCCCACCGCCCAAGGGAGCAAACTACGCAGGACAACAGCACTGCTTAGAGAAGAGGACCTAGAAACAAACCCTATACCAACCCGTCTGGCGAGCATGGTATTGTAGGCCAAAACCTCCCTTCTAAGGAGATGTTGATAATGGTGATGAAGTAAATTACAGTTCAAACAAAATTCCTCAAAAGGACCACAAAGCACACATTTTACATAGTTCTTTAACGGTCATCTGGTAAAACTTGCAGATACTAGCGCGTTACGTGAAACGCTGATAATACAAGCTTGTTTAAATATAGGCTATATATAAATAAGTGGTAACGCAGGTCTCAGCCGCATTGAGTGAGATGCCGCTTAATGCGAGTGGATTCCGCTGCATCCGTGAGTATCCCGAATAGAAGTACTGTAGTGACAATAATATTAGAATTTCTCATGCTGATGGTTCTGGTTTAATAGATTCCGACTATGGAGAGTAAAGGCAAGGAGAACCATCTCTGTGTGTGAAAAGTGTCCGTAAAAACGCGTCCAATAAGGGTGAATGGCGCTGCGGTAGCCTGAGATACATTTATATTAGCCTAAATAATAATGAGACACTGTGTACTTGACTGCAAAAAAATATATAGTTTTAAAAAACTAAAAAACACGCTTTCTATAGAAAAACAAACTAAAAAATAGAAAATAAATTTGAAAAAAAGCGTTGGGTGCCTGTTGTCAAAAAAAAGTAATATAATACTCAGCACACTTCACTCCGATCACAACAGCTATCATATCGTAGTTTTTCGTACGCCAGCGACCTGTATTTTCAGTATACAGCTGGATACTTTTTCACCTTGCCTCCCATATCGGATGGTTCGGTTTGTTCGCAGGAGTCTAACTTTTGTAACATCCATACAAGTGTCTCTACACTCCGTAATGCCCAGAAATGGTAGTAACAGTTGCAGTTTTAAAGACTCCATGACGACGTACATGATCATACTATAGCTGCTAAAAGCCTATTTCTGTGTAAAAGATTCCGATTGTATAAAGCCTATTCTGTGCATCATTAGTGTGTAATGTGGAGGAACGGGTCTCATGTCCCTCCAACACAAAGGGAGGATCCTCCGACCAGGCGAGGTGATCATGCCTGGCGGGCCGCGGCCCAACGGTTGATGTTGGGAAGTTGTATTAATGCTAATCGGCGAGGGAATTCTTTATATCGCGATACAGGATTAGCAATTCTTATTTTTAGTAGTTACTCCGTAGTTCGGTGTGTCTTCATTAGATGGCGCTGTAGTATGTTTATGTTTATTTGCATGTGGGAGTCGCCACATGTAAATTCAGTAACTACAAATTTTGCTATGTGAGTCCAAAGAATTTTAATAAAATCTCAAAAATCTTCTTCTCTAAACATCAAACTACAGAATCCAATAAGTAGGTGATGAAACCATAAAGCAATGGATAAAATTTTTCATCAAAATTTACAGTGTAAAGTTACTTTTCAGGATGTTCTATCGTCAATTTATTGCAATCATAGTGGCGTAGTGGTTTAAGCGTTCGCCACGCCGCTTACTACTACGCAGTGTTGTGGGTCCGATCCCCACATGGGACGACACTTTGTCTGATCCACGAATCGTTGTTCTAAGTCTGGGTGTTCTTTGTGTCCGTTTCATGTATGTTTGTTGCCGCGACACAGGATTTATTCCTAGTGCGGAAGTTGTCTTTTAAAAAATAAAAAATCAATAGCCTTACCAGCTTATACAAAATAAAAGAAAAAAAACCAAAATTATGACCTGGCAACATTTTTTGAATACCGATACTAAAATCTATATATAAGTAGTATCCTAGAACTTTCAATAAAAGCTATGCTCAGATTGGTTTCAGCATATTATTATTGTTATATTTAAAAAAAAACTCAAACGTCACAGACCATTAGAATACACCAGGCTGACAAACAACTATAACGCGTTTGTAATGGCTGTTTCTAATAACGACATATTATTATACTCATAAAACAACACGCAGAAATTAACAAAAGGCTGTGCTGAGGCCACGACCCGTAATTATCTAAGATAACAATATAATTGTTAAATCATCTTAGTCTTAGCGTTTCTGGTTAAATTCCATTATCTCCCAACTCATTCTATATCCAAGTTTTTTAGAATGAAGAACAAAAACTGAACATCGATTTCTTTACTCAGGTCTTGTCTTATCGTCTTCTTCGAAAAAAATAAAAAATCAATAATTGTCACCTTTCAAGAATACAAGTCGACCCAGGCAGGAGAGTAGACATGGCAATTATTGCTAATTTTAAATCATATTCACTTGATGAAACTATTGGTTTTGGTCACAGTGATTTCAGCTGCGATAAATCATTGCCTAGATTTGGTCATCATCATCAGCCTTAATCTGTCCACTGCTGCAGATAGGCCTCTCCTTAGAAAGGAGGTTTTGGCCTACTATACCACGCTGACCAGACGGGTCGGTATAGGGTTTGTTTCAAGTTTTCCTTCTCTTGATTTGGTCATAAGCAAAGATTAATGGCATCAAAATCAATCAAAGCGACCTTTTTTCTTTATTAAGACCTTTCGCGTGTCTGGCGCTAGCGTAATAATAATATTAGTCTCAGCGGTGTTGTAGATGAATCGCAGGTGTTAAGAAATATTTAAAAAGTCATATGATTAATCACAATTGACTGAGGTTTTATCCCATGCCATGCTTGTCGTCTGCACGGTCTCATAGGACACCGGTGTTAAGGAATCCGTCCCTCCCTCTCACCTTTACAGAGAGGGGCATTCAAAGGCACTTGTGGTTCTTAAGTTGCCGGTGGGCGACGGTTGTTACTTGTCATCAGGTGATCTGTTTGTTCGTTTGCCATAAAACAAACAACGGCACCCAAAACTCAGGTTTTCCCAAAAGGGAAAATTATCTGTTAATAAAGAATACGTACCAATAGAATCTAAAATAGTTCCGAAATGATAGGAAATACCGATAAACTGATAATAATTATGTCAAATAATGATACATAGTCCTTTTAGGCTATTATTACATATTCGTCAGGATATTGATGAGGTTAACATAGAGATAGTTTAGAGATAGAGGAGAGAAGCTAGCCACGTTCCGGGGACGTTGGTAGAAAGAGAAAAAAGACGGCGATTTACATGCGTCTCTCTCGCACCTTTTTTTTTATTTATTTATCTACAACTTTATGCACTTATGTACAACGGCGGGCAAAATGCCCAAGGCATTCTCCACCAGCCAACCTTTGGGGGGTGTAGAAATCTGGTGAGGAAGGTGCACTGAGGTTGCAGTTGCTATGGTAATTATATCTAACATATACAATTAGACACATACATACACACATATAGATATAAATAGTTTTAAAATTAGTGTATTGTCATCGGTCCTCTATATATCTACAAAGTTTGAACGAATTCGGACCGTTTAAAGTCAGTCAAAATCACGCCCAAAGGAGTCGGTTACAAACAAACATACAAGTGAACTAATATAAAGCGTGTAAAAACCTTAAAATCCTACGATATGACGGCATACTGACGGCGCGATCATTAGTACATGCGTAGATTGCAGGAAACGGAGAGGAATCATATTACCAAGAAGAGAATAAGAATCAAAATATCTCCAAATTTCATTAAAATCGATTCAGTAGTTTAGCCGTGAAATCGTAACAGACAGACAGAGTAACTTTTCGTTTCATTATTAGTAAGGATTAACAACCCTGAACTACGTACCGCGATAAATTAAACTAGTTATATCTAAGCTGCATGATTCACCTGTCATTGTAACCTGACCTGTATTAGGCAGAACCTTCGTGTTTTTCCTTAACAGAAATCAGAGCACCATAATGAGATATTGATGGCTGGTTGGGACCGATTTAGTGAACTATATTGTAATACATGACAGCTTCTAATAGTTTTTCAATTGATTTAAAAAAATTAAATAAATGAAAAATATTTGTTGCTTATTAATATTTTTAAATTTTCGAACATTAAATTATTTTAGAATTGGTACATTAATAAAAATAATCGGAAAGCGGTGTATTTAATACCAAAGGCATTGTCTAGCAGGCGAATTTCGATGAGAAGAAACCGAATGCATTTGAAACTGGTATTTGTGTCGCTAGAGATATTAGAATACAACATATTTTTATTTATTTTTATTTTTAGAAACACAACTCCCGCATTAGAAATACATCCTGTGTCACGGGGGACTTTAAAAACATTCATGAAACGGACACAAAGAACACCCAAACTTATAACAACAATTTGCAGATCACAGAAAGTGTCGTCCCATGTCCCGGGGATCGGACCCACAACACTCAGCGTA